TCAAATTTTGGTTAACAGATCCTTAAGCAGCACATTCAGGAGTACCTATACTGAAATTTTGAACAAAATCCATTTTTGGCCGAAATGACAAAAATTGTAAGTCTATAGCCTTAAAGGATTTTTGGCCAAAAATACGTTTTTCTCTCTGAACTAAAATTTAATGTGCCTAACTATTTAAGTACATCCAGAATAATACACAAGCACCAAGAAATGACCTCGAAAACCCATAAGTGGCGAGTAATTAGCATTGCAAAAGTAATTAAAATATTCTAAAAATCATTTGAACATTTTCTAAAAGCCATTTGAACAAGTTATAATCAAGATATCAAATTTTGGTTAACAGATCCTTAAGCAGCACATTCAGGAGTACCTATACTGAAATTTTGAACAAAATCCATTTTTTGGCCGAAATGACAAAAATTGTAAGTCTAATAGCCTTAAAGGATTTTTGGCCAAAAATACGTTTTCTCTCTGAACTAAAATTTAATGTGCCTAACTATTTAAGTACATCCAGAATAATACACAAGCACCAAGAAATGACCTCGAAAACCCATAAGTGGCGAGTAATTAGCATTGCAAAAGTAATTAAAATATTCTAAAAATCATTTGAACATTTTCTAAAAGCCATTTGAACAAGTTATAATCAAGATATCAAATTTTGGTTAACAGATCCTTAAGCAGCACATTCAGGAGTACCTATCAGGGCTGTGGAGTCGGAGTCGAGGAGTCGGAGGAAATTTCGGCTTGTGGAGTCGGAGTCGGTAAAATTGTCCAGACTCCGACTCCGACTGAAGCTATTCTGTTCCTAAGAACAAATATATGAACTCAGGCATATTCATTGCAGTGATTCCACTGATCCCACTAATTTTCTTAAATTATTAAAAGAATTTATTTCCATTTTATAAGCATTATTATGAATTTATTGTAGCAGGCACAGTATAGCACTATAATTTTGGACGATAGTCTCTTCTTTACCATTTGAAATTTTGAATTATATCAAATTTTGTTTCGTTGAAAACTGCACAGAGGCTCTCAGCTACAAAACAATTAGCTACAACCTGTTTTTGGTGAGATTAAGGCAAATTTAATTTAATAACTTAATCATGTAAGGTTTATCCATTTTCCTTAATAAGGTATTCATTTCTTTAATGTACATAAATATATAACTTTACTTTAAAAGGAATTGTAGGATCATCATTTAGATCCACATCAGATTATGAGCTTAAACAAAATTCATATGCTGAGATCGAACTTTTAGATATACATGTAAATGGTGTTTTCTAGTTAATATCTTGAATTCTTAATAAATTTATTTTTCTTTTGATTGAAACTTTGAAAGTCAAGCCTATCATCTTTTTGTAGTTCTTAAATATCGTCCAGATCATTAATAAAGCTGTAGCAGTATAGCCACGGTGTTTTACATTTTACCTATGCAGGTTACAACATACAAATTACAATTAGGATGGTAGAAATAGTTGTTACAAATAGGCCAAGGAGTCGGAGTCGGAGTCGGAAGCATAAAAATTTGAGGAGTCGGAGTCGGAGTCGAAGGTTTTGTCTTCGACTCCACAGCCCTGGTACAGACTAAGGAGAAGTACAAAACAAGGTATATATATACAGAGGAGGACAACCAGGTCCACAATGGTCAGGTATTAGGTAATGACCCCACTAATCTTTAAAAAGCACGGCAGTGGTCGGTAGTCAGGTCAGAGTGTAAGTTGACCCAACCTTTTCACCTGGTTACAAATCTTCTTAATTACAAAATTGTCCAGTTTGTACATACCATTACTCAAATTCATGTTGACTGCTTAGGTATGTTTAATGAGACTAGATTCTATAATGTTCCTACTGTCAATTGAATTACAAGGTAATATTGAGGAGGCATTATCCCAGTCAATGCAATGCTTATTATCCCTCCTATATTTATGTTGTTTAAGTCTAATTACAAGATCTTTACCTGTCTGGCCTAAGTAAAACCTATTACATTCCTTGCAAGGAACCTTATAAATGCAGCCACCTGTATTGTTGGCGGAGTTCTTGATTAACATTTGTTTAACAGTGCCTGAGTTTTTAAATGCCACATTGACGTTCCAAGTTTTTAGTTGTACAGGAATTTGAGAGAAATTTTTGTGAAATGGTAATGCTAAGAGATTCTTATGGTCATGGGTGGGCTTAGGATCGGTTCTATAGAAAGATTTCTTTGTAATGTTAAGACATTTGTCTATGAAGGATCTAGGGTACTTAAGGTTCAAGCCAATATTATAGATATATTTATATTCCTCATCAATGAATTCCGGGCTGCAAATTCTCAAAGCACGTAAAAACATTGATGAAAATACTGACTGTTTGACTCTATTATGGTGAGCAGAATAATAATGAATGTATGAATACACATTAGTAGGTTTCCTATAAATACTGAACTTAAAGGTGTTACCTATTCTGTGGATCAGACAGTCTAGAAAAGGCAATTTACAGTCCTGCTCTAATTCCACAGTGAATTCGATCGAGGGGGCTAAGTTGTGGCAGGAAAGCGTTTAGGTCCTCATTACATGGCCAGAGACGTAATACATCATCAACATATCTAAACCAGACTGCTGAAGGTGGTAAAATATTACTTAATAGTTTCTTTTCAAAGAGTTCCATATATAGGTTGCCATACCAAATTTTTTAGCATAATATTCTCCACTGAATTCAAATTTACAATCCTTAATACATAGTTTGATGAGTTCGATAAAGTCGTCTTTCGAGACGGGCAATGAAATATTATCCAGGGAATCTATGAGGAACTCCAGTAAATCGTCAACTGGGACCTTTGTAAAGAGTGATGTTACATCAAAACTGACCAGTTTAAAATCATAATTAATATGTAAGTTATCGGGTTTATCAACCAAATATATATATATATATATATATATATATATATATATATATATATATATATATATATATATATATATATATATATATATATATATATATATTCGGATTACATTAGTTTAAGTGGTTAATATTCGTTTAATGGCTGTAGCAAGATTTTCGTATTTGGCTATTCTAGGATTATTAAAAAAAAATATGAATATATTTCTTTCCTTGGTTAATGTATAGGACTAACCCACGGATGAGTTATTTTTATTACCGTTTATTTTCTTACATTATTTTCATAGGCGGGTTCTGATATGGTAGTCATTTATTGAGCAAATTTTTTGTTTTCATAGACAATTATAAGGCGCCTAAGCGCTCGCTAATTTGTCTTTTCGGAGGTAATGAGGCCGCGCTTAGCTGAGGCGCTTTTATTGCCCCTGGGGCACTTTGGCGACAACCTTCACAAGACACGCTGAAAAACAATCTTACATGTACGTAATTTGTTAATTTAGGGATAAAGACAACGAGACCCTTCAATTGTTTAAAGACCACGGCATTGTTCCTTTAAATAGACTGTCCACACTGCGGGAATTCTTACGCTTTCAGACGTTTCCCACCATCGCAATAAATCACTCCGCCGCCCGGGCTGCATGCGGCCGTATCATCTCTCGTCCAAAAGATGCCTCAAACTTCACCATATCATAGTAAGTTCTTCTGTTTAATGTACCTGGGGGCCGGGGGCCCCGGTAAGGAAGTTGGGTAAGGTTAGGTAGGTTTGTTTGGTTAGGTCTGTTCTTCATACCCACGAATGTTAAGCAATGTTTATTTAAAAAATAAAATATCACTATTTTGACACATTTGCACAAACTACAACAGTGTCCACTTTAAAATAACAGTGAAAATCCGGCGTTTTTAAAATAATTTTCAATCAATTTCGGCTGCGGGTTAGTCCTATATAATTACCCTTTCCTTGGGCAAATTATTAGATAAGATTACTGTAGATATGATATCCAAACTATGTTTTTCCCGTGGCTTTTGATGTTTTGAACGATTTGCGTCTTCATGTTGGAAATCAAGTTTATTTTTTTCCCCACTCAAAACCCTGGGTTCCCACTGAGTAGTCTAAAAAACTAGTGATGTCCGATATTAATGAAGGTCAAATTCGTCCAAAATATGTTAAAAAAATTGGGGAAAACATAGTTTGGATGCCTAAATACAGGGATGACCTTGAAACTTACCAATTCTCGTAGATACTGGACAGACAGTATTTACCACAAAGTTGATGATGCTGTTGATGGTTGATTTTGTTGTCACATTTCCCCAACAAAACTTTTGCAGACACGCACCTTTCTCGTGATCTGCTAGCTTGTCCTTCAAGTTAAACTCGTTTCTGGCCCTCTTTTGATTTCCTTTGGAAGCCATGGTAATTAGTCCATAGGAGTTAAGAAATACACATACGAGGGCAGTAGGAGTACGACTGACTTGTAAACAAAGTGGCTGGGGCTGATGTTCGTGTGCGCCTGCCGTCAATCCGGATTTTTCGTCCAGATTGCCATATATTGAAACATTGTTTGTTTAGGATTTTCTGAACTTATTTATGTTGCCTTTTAAAAAAAATAACCTATTGCTCACTTGTTACATCAGACTAGTTGTTGTAGATCTTATATCCTGTAGGTTCTTCTTGCTTGTGCATAAATAATTTTGGATTAAGATTTAATATTCTTCATTTCATGTGATCTAGCATATGATTTTTTCTTCAGAATTGTTTGTTTTTATTAAATTTCAATTATATCATTATTATAACTTAATTTCAACAATACGGTGTACTGAACATGTTCCGTGAATGTTATGTATCAGATAATTCCCTTTCAAATCTATCAGTAATTTCATCAGGTTACAATTATATGAATTCAGTCTACATATATTTCAAAAATTTCCATTCATAAACCTTAAATTTCCATCGATAGTTATGATTTTATTATAAAAATAATAGTTTCCTTTTCTTACTAAAAGATTTGAGCTTCATACGATGGATAAAAAAATTCTACTAAGTTTTGGGGGTGATTTTCCATCAATCGTGACCAATTTCCATCCAGGTTGGTTCAGCTTCAGTTAAGAGAGGGAGATAAAAACACACATTTATCAAACACTTTGTATTTCATGGGATAAGTTGCTAATAAAAATACACTTTGTACAATTGAAAAACTCTACCTCCGGTCCTCATCATGTACACGACCGTCTTATTTGGGTCTGTAACAGTAAGCAAACATTCTGCTGACTTACAATTGGCAATGGGCGTATATTATTGTTTATTTTATTTTTTTCGTTCATGTAGTAGTTCGTTTGTTGTATTTGGCGAGATGTATCACACACAGAATGTTACATAGCACTCGCTCAAATGTTTTTTATTTATTTTGGTTAACAGTGATGTGAGAAATGGCGAAAAACAGTCAATATACAAATCAACGCGGTTATCAATCTTATTCACATAATAATTCCTATTTACATATTTTGTCCTGTACACAGAGTTTAAGGTGGTGCACAAGAGTACTGTACAGAGAGGGTCTTCTTACAGTGTTTGAAGGAAGAGAGAGAGGTTGAGTAGGAAGAGGGAGGGAGGGGGATCAAGACCCGATACAAATTTATATACAACCACCAAAACATTGAAAATGGAAAATAATAATAATAATAATTAATAATAATAATAATAATAATAATAGGAAAACGTCCTTTAACGCTATGTACAGAGGAAAGATTAAGAGGCAAACTTGAGGGCAGATTCCATAAACGTTCAAAACTCCAGAGTGACTTCAGTCTCTTTCAGGGTATCTGGCTTCATTCATATTACTTTTCTCAAACCTCAACAGGGAATTACAATAAGCCTTCCACAGTAGTGACGACTCATAAACAAGTCTTAGATCAGGAAGTGCTTGCTGGGGGAGGTGGGGAAGTGGCTCATTACTGAAGCAACGTTTGTGAATTCTGCCCTAAGTGATCTTGACTAGGTAGCTGCCTTGAATTAATGTCTAAGGCTGTTTTTTTTTCAAGTGCTTTTAAGTCACATTGAAAATTTCCAGAGTGGGTTGGACACGATGAAGAAATACAGAATCAGGTGTTGTTCTGGAAACATTTCTTAAAATATATCACTAAAATGAAGATTAAAAACATAATGGCCATCACATGATAGAATCCTTAAATTATTTACTTCTCCATTAATATTATAATAAAGATAGAAGAAAGAAGAATACATAACCATACATATAAATATGTTTTCATTTTCTTTCTCCCAACGTAAAATTGAAGCAGTATTACAGTACTTGCTGTCTTTCCAATAAAAAGGAAAATATGGAGACTGTACAGAGTAAAAGACAAAAAACATATAACCCCTCAAAAAATGAAACCCCACAACACCTAACACCGTAAGTCACGCATCATGTGGTTGTGCACGGGTCGTCTGGGCGAGAGAACCCAAAATACCACAGTAAAAATAAATACAAAAATAAACCGAGTGATTGAAAGACATGGACGGACGCAATTTTCCCGTACTCAAGAACATTCACAGCTGTTTACAAATCTCTGGTCCAGAGCCTGTTCGCAAACCGAGATTTAAATTAGCGTTGTGTTTATTGGACTAGATGACTGTCTCTGACGTATCGAACAGGTCTCCTTTTAGGTGCTGATAACCGACAGGAGATAAATTGAAGGACAATGAGTTTGAAAAAAAAAAAAAACTAGAAAAATAAAAGCAAGATGGGAAGAGGTTTACAATAAGACCGTGAAAAAGTGAAGGATGAAAAAGACAGTAATGAGGACAGAGAAAGAAAAGTAAATTAGGGAAAGAAGGATTTAAAACATGGTATTCAGTAGGTTTACAAACGCTTCAAATGTTCATGAGACATACAGTTCAGGGGGAACAGAGTGCGTCTGTGTCTGTGCCGCGGGGAGGGAGACGACAGGCGTTCCAGTTGTCTGATGTCAACCCTATTATGACGTCAACTCTGAGGTCACGTTGACGTCATAGAGGCTTGAGTTCAGAACCACGAATATTTACCCTTGATGTTCCCTCCCCTCTCTTCGATCATTTTGTCTTTAATTTTACCCAGCAATTTAATTTTTCTCGTAATTCAGACGAAGGGAAGGATCAGATCTCGTCGCGTGTGATGATGATTTTATGAAGTGGAAAGTTTTTACAACCAATGAAGCAAAACTGATCATCCAACAAAACAAAAAGGGGGTAACGAAATGGCAATAAATGAGGGTGACAATATACACATACAAACACTATATATATATATATATATATATATATATATATATATATATATATATATATATATATATATATATATATAGTGAAAAGCAACCAACTAGAGTAATTACTTTGTGACCCCAGTGCAATGACAAATCATAAAAAAATAGGCACACATTCATCGTAACAAGGGGTATAATAGTATAACTGATCAGGACGTCTGTGAGACCCAGACAGCGATCACGGAAGTCGTGGATCACAGAGGCCAAGTTTCTACAAAGGCGATGTAGAAAACCGACCTTTCTCTACCCACGAGTCAATGCCGGGTCGTATTTTGTGCATGGTGATGACAGCTGAGTCCGACCTGAAGGGCGTTTTGAGATAAGTCTCTTGATACGAGTGTCAAATGTATTAAGAGAGGCAGAAATATATAAAAACCTAATCGATATAATGCAGTACGTTTAAGTAGTTCCCCGTACTTACTGTTTTTGCCTTTCCGATACTTTTGGTAAATAAAACATGTTAAAATTATATATGTATATATATCCTTATATTAATCATTATTGGTGAACAAAACATATAGAGGAAACTGACCCTCTACATGATTTTCTTCCCGACCTTTTATTATTTTGTTACCCTAAGACGGAGGAGCCTCGACAGTCCGTCCACTAACAATGATTATGAAAATTTAAGACAACTGTCAAATATGCTTCATATTCAGCCAGATAATAAAAGCAAATTGTAAATCATCAACTTGTGATGAGGTAACGTTGTTGTTTGTCTGCCATTGACATGATTCAAACACCAGCGAAACCGATCAGTCTTAGTCCTGATGCCGGTACAAAAAGTTGGCTACTTGTTGCCAGAGACGTCATCGGGCTGGCTAGCCATGTCTGATAACACAGAACTGCTAGGAGTTTCATCACAGAAATGTTAACGAAATAATAATGTTCACATTATTCTCTAAGTTACCCGATTATATATAATTTTCTTAATAAACTGGTGTTATACGAAATAAACCAACGTCAATCAGCTATATACGATATTAGTGTAGAAAAAACACACATTTGGAATGACTGAAGTAAATATTGTTAACAGAGATATGGGAGGTGTGTGTGGGAGGAGGCTGGGAGGAGGGGAGAGGGACAGGGTGACCAGTCGACCAGTTCGCAGACACCGGGTGATTTCCCAGAAATTAAAAATCAAAATGTTTAAAGGAAATATTTCAACAATACTCTGAAATTATTCACAAAAGTATTGAAAATAACTATTTTGTTACTAAAAATATCCATGGGCTAATATATTTCAAAACTGAAGAAAAACAATATTTAAAACACTAAACGTAGATAAATCCTGAGGTTGCCCGTGTGAGGAGAGTCATCCCGGGATCCACGAGCCGTCCTGAAGGTCACATTCATTGTACTCTTTCAGGAAGACGCGGCGTCGGTGCCGGCTAGTTTGCTACGGGTCCTAACTGCTAGGAGCTCCTTGTAACATAAGAGAAGATTCCAGGAACTGCTAGAAGGTACTGACAGGTGAAGTTCCAGTTAGTGCCAGAAGCTCCTGGCGGCTGCTCGAAGCTATAAAGACAGTCAATTAAGTGTTCCACTGACTCCCCCCCAGAGGCTCCGAAGACTATCAAGTGGTTTCTCATTACTGCTTGAAGCTTCGAAAATAGTTGTATCGTTTTCCAAAGACTGTTTGAAATTTCCCAGTAACCCAAGAATAGGAAAGTTGTTTCAATGACTGTTCGAAGCTCTGGAAGTAGTTTCATTGGTTTCAATGCCTACTACAAACATCATGACAGTATAGCGATTCCAATAACTGCCAGAAGCATCTAGAGACACTAAAATACATTACATGACTGCAAGAACTCCTGACAACATAAAACTGGTTCCAGCAGCTTCTAGTGATATACAAGTAGTTCCAGTAACTGCTGAAAGCTTCTAACAATTAACAAACAGTTCCATGAATTGCTAGAAGCTCCAGTAACTACAAGAAGCTCCTGGTGATATACAAATAAATGATTCCCAAGACAACGAAGTTATTGTAACTGCTAAAAGCTCTTGACAACACACAATTATTTCAAATATCTGTCAGGAACACCCAGCAACAAGGCTCCAGTAACTGCCTGAGCTCCTTGCAAAAGACAAGAAATTCCAGCACTTTGATGGGAGCATCTAGCCCGAGATGGGTGGTTCTAGTACCTGCTAGGAGCTCTTATTAATTGCAGAATCCTCATGAGTGCTAGGAGATTCCAATAACAGCGAGGAAATACTATTAACTGTTATGAAGGAAGGAGTGTAGCTGGTAGGAGTTCATAACTGCCAAACAAATGGACAAACTGAAGTAGTTGCAACTCTGCATCATTACATTACATTAACGTACTGTATCCAGTTTTCCAGATCAAACGTAACAATCTAGACGAAAATCCACTTCATCTGATCGGCCAAGATGGGCTGAATAATGTAGAGATCCACTCCCAATACGAACATGTATACAATCGTGCGAAAGTGTACCAAACAAAATTGAGCCTTATAATATATTGCGGCTACATTGGAATTTATTTTCCTGTTCTAATCGCTCAAATAATTTATAACATTATATAGCCAAAGGAATATATTGTAACACACCTACAAAATACTCCTTATTGCTCTAATTCACATAACTCTTAAGCGGTATCAATAACCATCGAATAGCATCTAGATTCCATAAAAGGTTTCTAGAAATTGTTACCTGCTGTCTAGAAACCTTAAATAGCCTTAAGAATTATTCTGTGGTACCAGCACGTATAAACTTTCAAAAAGCGGCATCCAGAACCTTTTACATGGGCGTCTAGACACCGACATGGGGTCTCGGTACATTCCCAAACACGTTCCTTTAGTACAAAATATTTAACAATCATCCAGTAAAAGGAACATGTTGTAAAATACACACGTGATCCCCTGTCAAGGACCGATACATATATAAGTATCCACACACAACATTCCCGTCTATTTCACACAAGATATATCCAAACTTTAAATACATCCACCAAATCAACCACCAGTTTATGGCTTATAAAACACAATTATGAACAGTTAAGGTGAGACAGGGGAAAGGGTTGGAGCAAGCGAATTATATATTATCACTATTGGGGGACTGGGGCGTTTCTTCATGCAAAACTTTTCCGTTGTTATAACAATAGCTTCAAGTGTTACCATACAGCACTGAATTGATTACGGAGAGAGAAATAAAGTTACAAAAGCACATGAGTGGCTATCAGGGGTCCAAAATTGTGAAGATTCAATGAGAAAATCACATCAGTGGTATATATATATATATATATATATATATATATATATATATATATATATATATATATATATATATATATATATATATATATATATATATATATATAAATTTTTACTTATCCAGCCATTCAGCTTTTGACATGAAAACACCAAGCCATTTTCAGAGCGTAACTAACACAGTATTAAGAATTTTGCCCTATGACACTAAGAAACATGAGTGAGATAATGCTGAGACACGTGTGAGAGGGATTACCAGATTGAATGACGTCATTTATGGTGCAACTTCCAAAATTACAACGTGCGAAATTGCACCTTAAGGAAGTTCTCTTTTGTATTTGCTAATCCCAATCACATGGATAATGGTAATGCGCCGTACCTGCTGATTTTTTTTCATTTACTTACTTAGGAAAGACAGAGGGTATATGTGTAATGTAATGTGTGTATCCGACGATCGGCAGTCTATGGTGACCCGAACGCCGAGGCCCGAGGCGATGGAAGGCGTCTACCCGCACTTGGTCCCGTCTAACACTCTCTGATTGGCCAACGACTCGACCAATGAATGAATTGTCAGGCCGACACGCTCACTCTCGCCAACCAATCGCAGAGAACGACCCAGTTTTAGTGTCCCCTTCCATGCTTCGCGCCTTAGAGCGCGGATCTTTGCATTAATACTAGTACAAAAGTCCATTACTATATATATTCATATATATGTTTATATAGATATATATGAAACCGGGTGGTTTAGTGGGTGGAACCTGTTTTGGAGAGCGCTGGGACGATGACAGTGCTGTAGGAACCTCACTTTTAACAGCTCTGTGTTATCCGTCTTGCCCTCGACCAATTCCTACAATGATTCTGAGGCTTGTAATCAGCCTCTGGTTACAATACCCCAGGCTTGGTTGAAGTGATGAAACACTACAAAAAAAACACAAGCTCATTTATCTCCAGATCTAAAGTCAAAACGGAAAATCTGAACCAGTTAGAACAGGTCACCTAAAGCTTCCACTGCCGTTTGGACTTACATGCTATGTAAACAACAGCTCTTTCTTGCCCAGGCCCTAGAGATGTGTACTGCATGAATTGTGTACAAATGTTTCAGACTAAATGCCCATTGCGATGCGTTGTGGAAAACGTTGTTGATCAATTAACATACGTTTTTTTGAAATAACCTGAACATACAGACTAGAGACAGGGGGTGGGGAGTTGTGGACCTAATTCTTCAGAGGTAATTATTATTTCATTCACTGTGGACAATTACAAGACTCAAGGAGCATTACACTAAGGCTCTACAATGGGATTTTTCACCCTCATTTGTTATGGTTGGACTTGCCCAAGTAATATAACAGGGATTTAAAACACTGCTGATGGTCGACAATCCCAATGTCACTACTTGAGAAATATATGAAAAATAACAACAGTGAAAAAATCATGTCAAATATACACTTTACTGACAGGATGATCATTGGAGATCACTAAATGCACAAAGGTATTTTACAGTTTTCTTTGGGAAACGCATTTTTTTTTCACACAGGAAACTGTCCTTCAGCATCTCCAGCTCAATTAATGGCAATGGTACTGGCACCACCTCCTGTTCTATTGTTTTTGCTGAGTAATTGGCTTTGGAGGTTCATGTGTTCTGGTTAGAAAATGCTCCAACTGTTATGGTAAAAAACGGTGACACGAGATGATGTCTGCAGTCACTATGGCGATGGGATGACAGCTTAACAGAACAATTCATTAAAGAAAATGCACTTAACATTATGTCCTCTGGGAGTGTGGTGTTGCACAGGTGAAGAACTTATTGTCTGTGTTCATTACTTAATCACCTGCGGAACTGGCACTTGCAACACTACTGTGGTATTTGTTTATAAAGTACTTTGTTATGACTAAAACTTGAATTCAGTGAAAAAGTCAATCCATCTTATATATCATGATTCCTATGAGTAATATATGTATAACATAAAAGAATGACACAGCGAATCATGACGGACATCACTACTCTAGCACACGCGTTACTTCACTCAACACCACAGTCGTCGCCAACTTTCAGAGTATATGTAATTGTTGACTCTTGCAGTAGCAAAACACCAAAGGGAGGGGAGAGGGGGATCACAGCTCCCTGGAAACCCAGCAGTTTGGAAATTACTTCCAGTGACCACAAGGTTCTTTAGCAGCGTATGAGTAGTCCTGCCCCGGATGGTCGCTGTCGAGGGCTCAGCCCGGTCTCCAGCTACCAGGAGACTCTACCAGTTCAGCAGTTAATGATGCCGATGTCAGCCCAGCAGTCATTGCTAACACCAATATCACTCAGCATGTCCGAGACATCGGAGAACTCGAAATGAGATCCTGATGACGTGGAAACCGCATCGAAGTCGAGGTCAGAATTTATTTCGTCAACTTCCACTTTGAAGTCGGAGGGTATCTGAAGCAAGTCCGTCAGAGAGTCTAGGTCGGCCAGCGGTGACTCTGCTGGAGGTTCCTGCTTGATATCCAGGGGCTCCATCTTAATGGGCGGTGGATCGGCGGCACGAGACCCTGAGAGGGAGGTGGGAAAGAAAGGTCGTGGCGCAAACACTTCGTCACGCACCGCATGACGTTTTCGATTATACATCAAGGGGTCTTCCTTATCATCGTCCTCGTCCTCGTCTTTGTCATCATCGTCATCAGTAGAAGTGATACTGGTGGATGACACGAGAGCTTCTGGCCGGAGTGAGGTGAGGCCAGGGGCACTCTCGATGGTATAAAGGCCGTAGAGGAAAGGTTCCTTGCCTGGGGAGGGGCTAGTGGAGGTGGCGCGACTGCTGCTCCGACTCGAGGACGTGGTGGTGACATGGTTGTCGTAAAGGGAGGCGCTCTCCGGGGAAGCTGGCATCTCGTGTGGGGTGGCAGGGACCTCGGCTGGTGAGGTACACTGCGCGATGGGCACATACATTGTGTTCCGGATAGACTCTTTGAATTTTTTGTCTATCTTGAGCTTGAGCTTGAGCTTATTGTGGTTGATTGTTGAGATGCCAGTGGTAACCTGAGCCCTTGAGGGGTCAGCTGTCAATTTAACACCCTTAAGGACATTACTGTTGGTACTGTTCTTGTCCTTGGCCTTGGACACACGACCCTTCTCCACGGTCTTGACTGCATTACCGGATTTTGTTTTCTTACGGGGCCGGTATTTATAGTCCGGATATTCTTGCATGTGCAGCAGACGCAGTCGTTCCGCCTCTTGGATATAAGGCTGCCGCTGGTTTTCTGTCAGGTTCTTCCATCGCTTTCCCAGCTGCTTGGAGATCTCAGCGTTGTGCATATCTGGGGCAAACTTGACGATCTCTCGTCGTTCCATCTGCGACCAAACCATGAAGGCGTTCATTGGCCGCTTCACGTGGTTTGGGTTGTGCTTCTTCGTCTGAAAAAAGAAGAAAGGAGACATTAATATCAACTGTAAGTGATTATCATCAGAACTATTAAAATTAATCTAACCTAATTTAATTTAATTTTGTTTAAGACAGTGAAGAATGTCTTAAATAAAAGTCACAGGCACCATAAATGCAGTAATTTCAATAATTATAACAATAACAAAATGTTATTCCACTTGAATGTTATGCTCAAATGGTTAATGGAATGATTATTCCTTAAACGCATGACATGAATTATTTCACATGGTATATATACACTAAAAACAAATATAATAAGCATGGTCACTGGTATTAAAGATAACGGAATACTAAACAGATTATCTCCAGTCAAGCATCTTCCCTATCTTGATCATCCTCCCTTCCTTCCCACCAGTCAACCCCAAACGCACAAACCCCAAGATGTTCAGAACTGATGAGAAAGAAGAAAGAAAGAAGAAAGAAGGACAGCTAAACCACAGCTCGGCCTCACATCCCAGCCTCCACCACTCGTAGGGATTATGGGATCCTACACTGTAAACACACGGGAGAGCCAAGGAAGGGGACCTCGGGGAGGGGACGGTGTGTTATGGTGGAGGTAGTAGAGTCTCGAGGGGGAAGGAGGGAAGGGAGGGTTGGCTGGTAGTAGTGATTCGTGGATGGTGGTGGTGGTGGGTCGTGGGTCGGTGTAGGAGGATCCTGGTTGAGTGTTGGACGTTGCTGGTGTTGGTAATAAAGCATAAGTTCTCATGACTAATGCTACTGTTATTAATTATAATAAGGATGACCAAGTTTCTTTTTTTAATCTACCTGGCCAATTACCACAATGTCAGAAATGAACGAAAAGTAAAACTAAAATCATGGACGTAGATATTAAGTGAGACTGTTGGAAGTAGAATTGATAGTACGAGATTTGCAGGTGTTGTGGTCATACTATTCCAGCAGTGAGAAGACCAATGAATGTGATGGGAGGGCCGTGGTGGGATTCCTGGGAGTAGGGCGGGTGGTGGTGGAGGATCAGGAGGAGGGGCTGGTGGGGATAAGGGGGAGAGGGACAGGTGGGGAGAGGGACTGGTGGGAAGAGGGGCTGGTGGGGATAAGGGGGCTGGCGGGGATAAGGGGAGAGGGGGGCTGGTGGGGATAAGGGGGCGAGGGGCTGGTGGGGATAAGGAATTTGAATTTTGCCACTTACAGCGGCTTGTTTATTGTGCACCCCATACTCATCCTATGAGCGGTAGCACAAAAGGATCAGAATATGGTTTACAAGAGGTCAATATAATTAACCCCCGTGGTTAGGATATTGTGGCACTGAATGTTACACAGTATTTCAATTACATTATTTGCTTAGTTCTATACATAAAGGGTAACTTATTCGCAACTGCGTGAGTACAGGAGTGTGATGCAATATGTCTGGCCGCAAACTTTGTTATTCACATTTGCATGAGAAATATTCAAACACATTGTGTGTTTGGTTCTATACACGGGAACTGATATAGCTACAAAGTGCAAAAAAGTGGATACAATCTTATTATGTCAGCTATCTTGCCATTAGAGTTGAAGTGTTGTGCCATTTCACACACAGTGTGCTTGGACCTGACCCTAAAAGGTTCTATCTTTACACAGTCGAGGACGTAGTGTTCAAGTGTGTGGCCATATGTCTGGCCACACACCTTACATTTAGTCTTGCTCACATCTGCTTGAGGGACATACTGACAGAGGTACTTATATCCTAATCTCACTCTAGCGGTTACAACATCTTGAAATCTAGTGATCTTGTTACTTGCTCCATATACATGTTTCACTTCATACATCTCATCATGGTAAACTATGGATCGACTAATGCCTGTTTGCACTAGTCTACTTGCGTGAAATTCATCAATAAGTTCAATCCTAATTACAGTTTTAAGGGTTCTTTTTGACATGGGAAAAGGGGCTGGTGGTGATAAGGGAGAGAGGGGTTGGAGGGTTAAGGGGGAAGTGGGGCTGGTGGTGGTCACAGGGGGTCGGGACAGAGGTGGTCATGGGTCAGGAGAGGGCTATGTGGTGGTGGTGGTGGTGGTAAGGATATCAGGAGGAGGCTGTGGTGGTCGTCATGACAGGGGTGGGCAAGGCACTGGAAGTTGTGGTCGCGTTAACGGTGCCCCCACAAGTTAGTCCTCTTAAGATAAGCAGAGAAGGAGAGGGTATGGTTTGGCTAACGACCATGAAACATCAGCTATAATACCGTTCCTCCGTCCAAACACCTCTTGCGTAGCCCACTATACGAAACACAATACTATCAAGAAACTACCAAACTGATTTACTTGCGATACAAACTACTATCACTTCGACACTGATTAGACAAATCCCGACCTGTGCAATGAAAAAGCAGTTCTACCCGTGCAAGAGAGATGCACAACTTGTCCAATGGCACAATAAACACAGCAGGAACCTAAAGAATTCGACAACATGAGATCAACACACACACACACACACACGAGCAGGTTACGGGGCGACCAGCGCGACATATCACGTGGTGCAACTTGAGTAAGGCTGAGCAACCACCAGCTGGCTGCCACGCACACTGCTCCACCTCCCTCCCAAGCTCCCTAGGGGTTCCTGGTAGTCTCTGGTAGTCTCTGGGGGCATGTGGTAGTCTCTGGAGGCATGTGGTAGTCTCTGGAGGCATGTGGTAGTCTCTGGAGGCATGTGGTAGTCTCCGGGGCATGTGACAGTGTTTGTGAGGCTCTGACACCTCTCGGGTCGTCTTTATTTAAAGGGGGTTCTTGTTTCCCTTTTTGCAGTCTCTCAAGATTCCTGGTAGCCGGTTGGTATAACCGAGTGTCTTGGTAATCTCTGGGGGTCTATTAGGTTTTAGTAGAGTCCCTTATAGTCTCTGGGGAGTTACTGGTGACCTCATATAGTTCCTGGAAGATCCGAGAAGGGCACTTGCTCTAGTCTCTGAGATGGGGGGAGGGAGTGAGGGAGGGAGGGAAACTACTAGATACCTCCTATACTCACAAAGGGTTCCACGGTTGCCTAAGTCTCCTGCAATCTCTAAACAGTGAAGTTAAATTATCGGGAAGTTGGACCCCTCCCCCCCACCTTTGCTATTAGTCTCCGGGGGTTACTGGCACACGCTGGCAGGTCCCTAGTGGCCTCCTGGTGGCGTCTCGAGTTCCAACACTAACGGACCGAATGCACATGACAGATTACGCTAAAGCAGCTTCGTTCCGTTACAATGTGTAAATCACCAGCTTTAGTCAGTGGGACTTAGAGCACCAACCTCTCTATTCTAAGTGGGTTATAAGTGGCTTCTTTTAAGGTATTGTCATATCATAATGGTTCCTGTTATAGCTGCCTGTGTTGGTGTCTCTAAATAAACTCTGTGGAACCGCAGTGGATTATTTTCTAGGGGGAGATATCGATGACACACTTTTTACCGCGACTCCCAAAACGCAAACACGGCAGTTTTACCGGGCATGAGTTTCAGAGAAAAAGCTAAAAAAAAAAAAAAAAAAAGGTGGAACAAGATTTTTAACGCACTTTTTGATTTCAAGCATTCTGTCTAGGGGAAGGGGGAAAGGTTTACTTATATTTTCAATCTATATGCAAAATATTGATAACAGAGTGCATCCGTAGTCCAGGCTTGTTGGGGGAGGCAAGTGCTAAAGGGAGTGTGTTTTTAATGGATTATATATTTGTTTTTATCGATTTTTTTTTTTACGTAAAGATTTCTTGCTTACATGTTTGTCTGTTTGTGTATCTGTCTCTATTTAGGATAGATTTACTTGTATTTATTGTGTGTGTGTGTGTGTGTGTGTGTGTGTGTGTGTGTGTAAAGTACATTTAAAATCCATAAATCAAAAAAAAGATGAATAAGGAAAAAGTTAGAAATAGAAATAAAAAATGGGAGCAAATATCGAAAAGGAAAGAGGGGAGTATGCGAGTCTGAGAAAAATAAGAAAAAGTAAACAACTGAAGAGTGAAAATAGAGGAAACAGAAAAGAGAATGTGCAAAGAATCAAAATTGGGAAAAGGAGAAAGTAGAGAGCGGAAACCGTGAAGAAAGGATGACAAAGTAGGAGAGAAAGGGGAGTGAGCGAATGAAGAAAAAGAAACACTAGCTGAAAGAAAGAAGAGGAAGGAGAGAGAGAGAGAGGGGAGTGAGTAAGTGAGTGAGGGAGAGAGGGAGAAGGACCAGGCGGTGAGGGTCTCGGGTGGAGAGTATCACTTTACGCCCCCACAGTGCTACCCGCCTACACCCACCTCTTCCTCCAACACACACACACACCCCACCATCACACACACACACACACACACACACACACACACACACACACACACACGTAAATTTTATATTTTTTTTCTCGTGTTTTTTGGGAGGTAATACACTAATGGTTATCCAAAACCTCCGGATGAAAACGAGAGAGAATCCCAGTTAAAGAGATCAAGGGGTGGGGGGGAGGGGGCATCAGTTACATGCATACATACATCCCCCTCCACTGATGCCTCCTCAATAACAGCTATGAACTCAAGGTGATGCAATTCCTCCCAACCTTCAATATTGACTCAGCTGTAAACTCAGACATGACCCCATTTATAAACTAAAAGGAAACTTACTTCAACGCCCACCACCAGCCATTAAACAAGACTAGAGCAATGCCGTCTTAGTACTTCACCAGAACACACCAAACACATCTTGGGGAAAAAAATAATCTCTCGATGGGCAATATACCACAAGGGAAAAAAAAAGAAAAGATTCGCAAACAAACAAACAGCAACATCATCAGAAAGTAAGGAAACAAAAGCCTGACGAACGTAAACACTACATGACGATTAGATACGATAGCGTAGTGTGTCTCATGACGAGCCTGAAACACCCACAGGTAAACCCGTATTTAAGCGTTATTGGTTGAAGACTGAAGGATGGGAAGAAGGCTGAAAAAGGCAAATAAAAGAAGGAGGGAGGAGGGGGGAGGGAGACGAAAAATTAGATAACGGAGACATTTCGGAATGGAAAGGAAGACAAAAA